TCAATCTTAGAGAATACAATGGATCCTCTAAGCTGATCAAATAAGTCATCGATACGAGGTAAGATAATGAATTGTTCAACTCACGGTAGTTGATAAAGATTCTCATCGATCTTTCTTTATTCGCGTATGAACAGAATAGGTAAAGAGAAAACACTTGATCAAATGATTCTTTATTAAGGAATCCTTGAGTTTTCAATCTCAACGGAGGTTTATTCAACATGGAATTATATGGATATTAGATAGTGCAAATCCCGGATCAGTACATGGATATAAATTATCGAATAAGGAAATATATTAATGATGACGCCAGAGTTTTCTTCAACGCGGTCTTTCACTGCATACGCACATGCATGATTTTGTTTGTGGGTTATTTCCTTCTGGTGCAAGCTGGGCTGAGGTAGATTGTCTTTGAACAGGGCCATCGGCATTGGTTTTTCCAAGGGTTTGTAGGACATTCCTTTCGAAAATGCCCAGATTTACCACAACCTATACATAATCCTTGTGTCATCCAACATTCTCCTGGGTGATGTCTTCTACAAGTGTTACACTTTGGATGTTTCCACACTCTCAATTTGTATTGAGTTAACAAAAGTTTTCTTCTTTTTGAGGGCGGGACACTACAAGTTCCAGTCAAAGGCTTCTTTCCTTTTTGGGTATCGCACGAATAGACTTCACACTTGAGATGTTTTCGCATATATATTCGAGATGAACTTGGTCGGTTTAGAAATCAGCTTTGCTTTCACCTCTATAAGGTTACCTTCATTGGTCTTCAGTTGAGGAATTCTTCATCATAAGTTGACAACAGCAACGACGTTCAGTCCGTTAATGCATATAATGTCGATTTCCTTGTATGGTACTTCAACGATGTTTTACAAAGAATTGTTGCTTAACGAATGATTTCGATTCACATTAAGTAATCGCATAATGTGTCCTAACGAGTCAAACAATAGTATCAGATACTTTAGATAACAGAGTTTATTGATTCTAAACGTTCATGTTTGAATCAGCGATTAGATCGTCTTGAGTCCATATGAGGATCTTTGACATCAGCTTCACAGATGTTTCTCAACATTTATCGTTTCATCATAGTCGTCTCACTTTCGTACAATTTTGCGATGCAGATCAGTTTCATCATTTGCGATGCGAAATGTACGTTCATAACGTATCAGGAGATTATAAACATATCGTTTATTCTTTCGTCTCTTTACCGAGTACAAAAGTTCAACTAGAGTCTACGCTCGATACGGTTTCAGTACTAATCAATTGATATTTAATGAGAATTCTAATAGAGTCATTATTTACCAAGTAAATTCTCATACCTTTTTCCTGGAGCAGAGGGACGCGAGAGTCGTGAATGTGATTGACAATATTTTTTTTTTAATTCAAATTTTTGATTCGAAGATCGGTTTTAAAACCATTTGCTCCGATACCAAAATGTAACACCCTAATCTGTCCAGGTCTGCAGCCCCTTTCAGATTAAAGTATTAACTTGGTAATCGTAAAAATTTAAAACATTTCAAACACTTTTATTTATCACAATAATATTTTTCATAATATAAACAGTACGGAGTTTTCAATATTGCGGAAGCTTAACAATCATAATCATAAACATAATTTATTTATGTTCTTTAATTCAAAACCATCACATCCATTCCAACAATCTCGCCTCCGTCTGCCTCCAGGATCACGTTACTTCATTAACCTGCGTGTAGCAAATAAAACATACTACACGCTCAGCGTTGAAGCTGAGTAAGCATATCTAATGCATCGAACATCCATATAAACTGAATCTAAATTCATAATCAAATCATTTGATATCATGCACATAATATTCAGTTCAGATAATCAATAATTATTAAAAATTATTCATCATGCATTATTCAACATTTATATTCACATTCAATGTTCATCAGTCATTCATAATAATTGCAATATTCAATTCAATATTCATCATTCAATATTTACTCATATTCAATATTCAATATTCAATATTCAACATTCAACAATATCTTTAAACTATTCTTAGTCTAAGGCCAATCACTTTAATATTTGTCAACCCTTAAACGAATTCTAGTTTAAATAATTAAACTATATTCCAGTATAAAATATTCCTAAATAATCCTTAAGCTAGGCCTAGTTTAAGATAAAAGGGTTTTGAAAATCTTAAACTTACCTTCACTTAAGGCCAACCAAAAACCGACAGCGTAGTGTTCACTGTTGGGTGGGTGGTACCCCCAAACGAGTAGGTACTCAAGTTTGGTTC